GGGGTATCCTGGACTCTACTCCCAAGAGAACACCTGTGACCATCGCAGTTATTGACAACGGAATCGAGGCCACTCACCCTGACTGAAAGGGTACCGTCATCCAGGGCTACAACGTGGTTGATAAGAATGATGATACCAGTCCTCGAGGAGGGCATGGAACCACCATGGCTGGCATCGTTGGTGCTATCAGGAATAACAAGATCGGTATGGCGGGTATTCTGGACAGGGTGCGCATACTGCCCATAGTCACGGGTGCAACTTCGACTTTTGGCACATTGACGGATGCTTTCACCTACCTGATCAATGAAAAGAAAGATGATGTGAAGGTTATTCTCATGACGGACGGAACCGCCGAATCAAGTTCTCGAGCCGTTACAGACAAGATTTTGGAAGCAACTGCAGCTGGCATGCTCGTTGTTGTTGCGGCAGGGAATCGCCACCTGGATCTGGACATAACCCCATATTTCCCTTGTTCCTTCGGCCGTTCACCCGCTGATGGAGTGTTATGTGTGGCTGCAACGTATGGTACCAAATTGCAGCTTGTTGGCATAAGCAATTTTGGTTTAGCTGTTGACATCGCCGCTCCAGGTTCCGAAATAGTTGTAACTCATCTTGGAGACAAGTATGCCACTGTTACGGGTACTTCGGGGGCATCCGCTATCGTAGCAGGTATAGCTGGGTTGCTCTACACCCTTGAACCATCTGCGAAGACTAAGTTGACTCCTGCTTACATCAAAAGTATCATCCGGGATACGGCCACCGCAGGTGTCAAGGACAGTAAAGGGGAAAAGACCCTCCCCTTCGGCCGCGTGAATGCTGCGGCGGCTGTCAATAAGATACTTGGAAGAAAGAAGGTTTAATTTTTCACTCTGACTTCGTCTTCATGATGATGGAGACTCCATCATTGAGTCAATGACATCGAGTCATTGATAACTTTTTCAGTGAACTCTCGTTCAGCTAGATGGTCTCTCCCTTCCTGGATGGATTATCAAGTCATTCGATTCATTTATTTCGAATGTGAAGGTGACCTTCACTGAAGGTCTGATCATCAGACTCTGGTGTGACATGCGATCGTTGTTAAGGAAGGTTGACCATATGTCCGTTCATATGATAAGTCACATCTAGTTGCCAAGTAGTATTTGGTCATATTGTCGAGTCGATTCTGACTTCAGTATAGTTGTCCCAGTTGAGATATGCTGTATGCGCCAACTTGATCGATAGCATATAGCTTTTGTGGTTTCGGCTAACAGAAGATTGCAGACTCCTTACAGATTGCCCTGTCGTGTTCTGTCGTGCCGGTGACTGGAGCTACGTAACAATCGTAACGGTGGGGATTCGAATCAAATCATTTGACTAAAATAATTCTTTACGTCCAACTGTTGAGTTTGGAGCTCGCGTCGTGAATTTGCGCTTGGGTCGGTCTTGGTGAATATTTTCCACATCCGATAAATTCAATCAAGCCTTACAAGTTTTTGCCCTGTTATCATAAGCAGTGCGGTGACATTTCAATCGACAAGCCGTTAACAATTTCCTCATCCAACAGTTCCCTCATTCCATCATCGTATTCTCGGATTGTATAAACAATAACTCACAACAGTATAACTGTTGCTCTGGCCCAGTCCGACGTTAAACAATGCCCCAAAATTCCCTCTGCATTCGTTCCTCTCCCCTCAGCAGCTTGCGTTGAGAACTTCTACAAGAAGTTCATTCGCCGCTGCATGGTTAGTGGATGGGATATTGATAGAGTGTTGCATCCCTGTGTGCGGGAAGCATTTCGTGCTCTCCGTC